ATGTGAATTCTTGATGAAAACTACAAGAATTGTGAGCCTTTTATACTAAATAAGTTGACTACAAATAAACCTTGGATTTATAAAATTAGACTAAAAATTCAAATAAATCAGTTTTAATAAAATACTTTTTTTTAATTCATACAAATCTAATACATATATCTATTTATTTTATTTTTATTTCTGTGTTTAATAAATAAATAAAACAAATCACATCAAAATCTCAACGCAAGTGATGAAAAAATTAATTATTATTTTGACAATAATTCTCGTTAAGAAAAAGCAAAAGAATTTATGGTTTAGCCCTGAATTTAGTTGATTTAAATAAAATCATTATTGAGATTACAAATACATTAAATAAAACTAAAACAACTATTCATTACAAATTACTTAACGATTATGAGGTAAGATATACTCCTATTCCGTACGGTATAGGACTATACGGTAGGTGTGATGGCATAGGAGTTGTGTAATGATAATTGAGAGGACGCACCCATACGTAAAAAGCGACAATTCTTGAACCACAGTCTCCTTGTGCTCGACATTTATAAGAAAAAGCAAATTAACGATAAATTTTCCGATCATTTATGAGACAAATGCTCGTCATTTCAATGAAATCTAGTTTATTAACTACTTTTTTCATTCAACAATACGCTTATTTCAATCCCTTTACTCTCTATTCATGTATTCAATGTTTGCCTTAAATTATGCCACTTTTTGATAAATAACACGAAATATTTATAAATTTATGCATAAAATTATATTACGATTAAATGTAAAATTTAATATTCATTTCAATTATATATAACGATGACATCAGACATAACAATGTACTCAATGTCTGGACAATCGTTTTACAGTTTAAAATTTAAACAAAACAATTATTTTACTGTACAGACAAGTGTTAGCATAAGTTCAGCAATAGATCCCAAAACACTTGTGATCAGAGAAGACAACTGCCATCAGAGGAAGTAATCGACAGATTTTTATAAAAATAAATCAATCATTTCTAGAAACGATAACTTAAAATAAATATTTATTTTGAATACAATTAGAAAAAAATGAAAATAAATAACAATATTTAGTTTTTTAATTATAATTTTAGAGTATATTTCATGAATATTTGGTCTAAATTTTATCAAAAATTTATGAACAGACACAGCACTATGCATTTATTCCTATAAACAATTAGTAATTAATTAAATAATAAAAATTACCGACATTTTTGTACCAATAAAACCAAAATTTAATTTATTAATCATCAAAAAGACTTATAAAATAATAAAATGAAGAGATTTAATGGCGAAATACAAACATAAAGTGAAAAAATCTTAGTTATCGAAAAATATAAAAACGTAACACTTTTTTATGTCTCATTAATTTCATCGGATGTTAGGATATAAATTAGTTAACAATATAATTTTTGAAAAACAGTCTGTAAAGTATACAATATGAAGGCGTCGTGTCGTTGATCTAAAGCTCCTCTTTGATCGCCTTTTGATTGCCACTCCTGTCGTAACCGTTCAACTCGTCGGTCGCGTGTTTTGATATGTAATTCAAGAAATCCGATGCCTCTCTTCCGCCCTCGTATTTCTGGATCGACTTATCCTTTGGATACCAATACAGAGTCGGGAATCCGTGCACAACGAACGGCGCCGGAACGTCGTTAGCCGTCGCGTCCATCTTCACAACCTGTACTCCCGGCTCGTTCTTCAGGGCTTTGCCTATCATTCACAACGAAAACACAACTTATTAAACAACATATCGAGAAAAGAGTGTCACATAAAAACATATTGATTGTCGACTATCAGTCAGTAGCTGGTCATCAATGGTCAGACCCGTCTTGAATAGACTCATCACTTAATACAACAATCAATACAAACACCAGACAACATACCCAATTCATCGAAAGTCGGGGCCAACTTCTTGCAGTGTCCACACCAGGGGGCGTAAAACTCAATCAGTGTGTCCTTATCTGCTTTGGTCACGAGTTCGTCGAAGTTCTTGCCGACGGCGACCTTAACTTCGGCGACATCGTTATCGGCGGGCACTTCCTCTGACTTCACAAACGCTTCCAGCTTTCCGTCCTTAAAGTCTTTGACGAACTGCTCGAACGTCTCGACAGAGAACTTGTCTTTGAAGGCGTACTTCAGTCCCTGAGCATCGCGTGCGCCCACCACTGGTGTCGCCTCGCGGTCTTTGGGTGCCTCGAGACCGAACTCCTCGAGCTCTCCGGCGAATTGTTGGGCATTAGAAATGGCGAAATTCAATTCCTTGTAATTCTGGGCCACTTTCAGCACACGGTTTCGCCAATAATTGGTTCCCTTAATGTTCTTCACGTAATCGACATCGTAGTAGACAATGACCAATGGATTCTGCAATCAATTCAACAAACAATTAGTCAACAAATTGACAAATAAATTAAAAGTCATCATAAGATGTAACTAAAGTAAATGTATCGAAAATTTATGGCACAGTCTCAGCAATGAAGAAGTGCTCGACTGCTTCCTATTACGATATATTAATATTGGTCTTTGAATCGTGAGATTCCTGGCACTAATGTGGCAAAGATTAACCAACAATTAGTGTGGCGAAGACCCTAACTATCACTACAAACACATCCATTAGTCCATTCAAGCAATACCTTAAAGTCCTGATTGTTGTTCTGAGTTCTGTGGCCAACAATTCCGTGATAATTGATTTTAATGAACTCCTCGACGTCTCCGGAAGCGTATTGAACAACGTTTGACTCGAACTTATTCTTGAGCTCTTTGGGTCGGATGAGGACAATAGTGGGCGCCTTCTTGTCCTTGAGATCGGCGAACAGTTTCAGTTTGAGTGCATCGGAAACCGTTTCGGTGAACACGTGCACAAAGTTGACGGACTCTCGCAGTTTGTCCGCCGTCTTCAGGAAACTGGTCTGAACTGCGGACTTGTCGTCCGACTCAAAGATACCCAAAACGATCACATCCTTAGCCTTAGTGAGCGCGTCCTCGAGTTTGGCGCGCGTCTCGACCAGTCTGGAGGCCGGACCTACTTGTGAGCGCATGTACTTCACGATACCATCGGCCTCTCGGGGACCGCTGTATTCAGAGGCGAATTCACCACCTGTTCACACAATTCAATACAAAAAAACATACAACACATGAGAACAAATGGCAAAGTAGTAGACAATTAAGACAATACACATGTGTGGCAACGAAAGGATCAGTCATTATCAGTCTGGAGCGGTACAGGTGGTCGTCATGTGTTCAGACATAGACCCGGGGAGGTCTGTTGGTTACATCATTTAATGACCGATCCTTTCAATTACTGCCTAAATATACAGCTATATAAGAGCCCTAAACACCTGTTAGCCCTGAATTCACCTAAAAATATGTTCAAAATGTGTGTTTAATCAATAGCTTAACTAAACAACCAAATGGCTTAACAAATGGGGTTATTGTTAATCCAAAGCCTTGGACAGGACATCAAACTCTTGTGCTATCAATCAGTAGTGTATTCAACATAAACAGCTTAAGTGCCTGAAAAAGTTTGCATAAACAACAGCATAAATAAAATTGAATCCTAGATGTGATTAAAGCCTAAAGATTACTAAAACATTTAGAAATTCAAAAAATATAATTTAAACAAAAATTATTAACATTTGGTCTACAGTTGAAATACACGTCTCTTAGAGATAGTGAAAAATGTGTTTATCATCGAAAAAGAGGAGAGACTGTGGTTTTCAATGCCATTCAAAAAACTAGTCTTTCAATACAAGTGCGAAAAATGCCTGAAAACTGGTAAACAATTTCTCTTTGCGACGAAAACGTGATAATTATGCAAAAAACATGAATATCAATGTAATCGTAGTTATTGTTATATAACAGAGAAGTAAAGCACAAAATAAGAGAAACAACAAAAATGTCACTAAAATACAAATTCAAACATTAAAACCAATTGTCATACCTTTGAATATCTTAAGAGTGGGATAACCGGTGACACCGTATTCGGAACAGGTGTCTTTGCCGCCATCGGTGGTACAGTCAACCTATCAATTGGGATACAAATACAACACACGTTAAACACCAGACCATAAATACACTACACGTGTAGAGGAAACGGATAGCTATGGGAAGGAAATGGGAAGAGANCATACCTTTGAATATCTTAAGAGTGGGATAACCGGTGACACCGTATTCGGAACAGACGTCTTTGCCGCCATCGGTGGTACAGTCAACCTATCAATTGGGATACAAATACAACACACGTTAAACACCAGACCATAAATACACTACACGTGTAGAGGAAACGGATAGCTATGGGAAGGAAATGGGAAGAGAGAAAGTGGGAGACAAAGGGATGGACGACACCAGCCATGCGGTGGTGATGGCAAAGGTTAGGGACGGACCGGTCATTATCAGTCTGGAGCGGTACGCTGTGGTCAGCAAATGTTTTCAGACATAGACTGGGAATAGGTTTCATCACTTAATGACCGATCCATACAAAGACAGAGAGAGAGAGAGGGGAGAGGGAGAGAGAGGGGGGAAGTGGTGTATACCTTGGCGAGAGGGACGGGCGGGTCGTTGGTCTTGAGAGCGGTGGCGGCGGTCTCGTACTCGGGAGCCAATCGTTTGCAGTGTCCACACCAGGGGGCGAAGAACTCCACCAGTACTGTGTCGTGTTGGCCCACCTCTGCCTTGAAGTCACCGGTGCTCAGGTCCAGCACATCCGACGCCGAGGCCATCGCCAGCCACGACAGGCATAATACTAACGATACTTTTGATACCATTGTCTCCTCTATTCAATCAAATTAATGAAATGTCTATTGATTTGCACTGAAAGACAAGCGTTTGCTTTGAATATCACAACACAAATGAATTATAATATAAATGAATGGCTTTTTTCTCTCTATTGAAAAAACGCGTGTCTTTTAAATGACGAGTCGTTTCTTTCGTTATCAAAAAAAAAGTTAATTAAATGTAAAAATAAATACAGTTTTTTATATTAGGCGTTGAGTTATATATAATCTATATATTGAGTTACGACTGAAACTAATAAATAAATAATTTGAGTAAAAAATAAAAGTTAATTACAATTTAGATATCAATTGAATTTAAACATCAATTGTGTTATAAAAAGTCGACTGAAAAGAGACGAGAAGTGAACTCAACGCCGGTTTTTATATACAGACGACACACGCCTTAAACGCCTGGATGTGTGGCTCAACAGCACTACACCAATGCTTGTACGACACGGCAGAGCACAACACTATTGTAATCTGCA